TAAAGTAAACCAATCTTTTTTACAATGCAAAACTTACCTCTTTCTTCCTCTTATGATCGGGCTGGTTTGTGAACTAATGAAAAATAGGTTTGCATACGTTCACTTGGAGTTTAACTACTCAAGTTAGAGAATTCGGTTCTGACATATTATATGGAGTACACTATTTTACTGTTTGTTGTAGAGGTCAAGCTAGGGTCTTCATGATGTCATAGACTCTTATCGTTCGAATCATTCTGATAAAGGAACGTAAAAATAAAATTTTCATATGTTATTGGTATATTGCAAAATGATGTAGCTTTTGAAGATTTACGTTGTGAAGTAGTGTTATATTAAGAGCTGCTGCATAGTTTATACGTAGTCAGTTTGCAACTTAAATTATTTACTGTCTAATTCATAACATATTGAAGATATTGACTGTTACGAAGTCTTGTCTACGAAGTCTGTAATGTAAAATTTTTAATCAAAAAACGTGGTGCAATCTGTTGCATGATCTACCAACTAATTACAATATTCTGTGAAAAATGATAAATCAATCAGCTGTTTGCTATGATATTGCATTGATTTGAATTAATATTTAACCAATTTAACCCAATACACTAGTACCTAAGGGAGTATGTTTTATCTATGCTAGTAACCTCTGGTGAGATGGTCCTGAACTTCGTCTATTTTCTTGGTTTCAAATTTTACATTACTTGGGAAGTCTATTCTGTGTATATACAATGGTTAAACATAATCGTGAGTCACTCTGCAGTAACCTCAGAACTCCACGACTCCCAGTTCGGTCCCAGACAGTCGTTGTACCGCCGTGGCAGATTGTTTTGACTGTTACCGACCAAAGTAGTAAACCCTGGTTGTAACGACGTCGATCCGCACGTACGCTCGCACACTACCGTACGTTTACACTCACGTACACACACCAACGCGACTCAGTTTTATTGTAATTGAGTGCATGGAACATTGGTTCAGGAATGGCGACTGCATCACGTAGCGCGCTAAATAATAAAACTCAACGGGAAATAAAAATACCGTTATAGCAAACCGGTTGACTAAGCGAATTTTAAATTTCCTTATCGGAGTGTTGCTAAAACATTTACTTAATTAGTATATTTACTTGTCAGAATGATTCTCTATTTAGATTGTATTAGTTTCAACGAGTACTTAGGTTTGCTGCTACAGGGGAGGCGTTAATACTTTGTTTAGTGGAATGTTAATAGCTTGATAGTTAATGTTTATGTATATGAATTTGAACTATACACTTAGCAATATGGGAGTGTCCCTGGACATTGTATTTTGCCTTGCGTTCAGGGACAATCTCATGTTGCTAAGGGTCGGTAATAGTTTTTTGTACTCTGGAGGACATCGAACCGTAAAAGTAAATCAGTCCCGGGTCTAGGTCTTTGCCATACCACTTGTAATATCTTAAAGGGCAATTCTCTGAAAACCAGACGTGTTAGTAAAAAACAGTTTTCAAAAATTTGTTATTTTATAGGATCACAGAGATACTTTCGTATCTATAGCAAAACCCGTAAACGATGCAAAGATACTGAAAAGACATGATTAAAAATGCTAACTGCGCCTAAAATGCAAAATAAAATTAAATTACTGTCACATCCGTATTGTAGCGTTACTAAGTCTATGTCCCTCGTTCCAAACGGGCACAATGCGATGCAACAAGAGGACCGTAGCTCCCAACTCTTCTCAGACCGTAGCTCCCAACTCCTCTCAGACCGTAGCTCCAACCTCCCCTCAGACCGTAGCTCCAACCTCCCCTCAGACCGTAGCTCCAACCTCCCCTCAGACCGTAGCTCCCAACTCCTCTCAGACCGTAGCTCCAACCTCCCCTCAGACCGTAGCTCCAACCTCCCCTCAGACCGTAGCTCCAACCTCCCCTCAGACCGTAGCTCCAACCTCCCCTCAGACCGTAGCTCCCAACTCCTCTCAGACCGTAGCTCCAACCTCCCCTCAGACCGTAGCTCCAACCTCCCCTCAGACCGTAGCTCCAACCTCCCCTCAGACCGTAGCTCCAACCTCCCCTCAGACCGTAGCTCCCAACTCCTCTCAGACCGTAGCTCCAACCTCCCCTCAGACCGTAGCTCCCAACTCCTCTCAGACCGTAGCTCCCAACTCCTCTCAGACCGTAGCTCCCAACTCCTCTCAGACCGTAGCTCCCAACTCCTCTCAGACCGTAGCTCCAACCTCCCCTCAGACCGTAGCTCCCAACTCCTCTCAGACCGTAGCTCCCAACTCCTCTCAGACCGTAGCTCCAACCTCCCCTCAGACCGTAGCTCCAACCTCCCCTCAGACCGTAGCTCCCAACTCCTCTCAGACCGTAGCTCCAACCTCCCCTCAGACCGTAGCTCCAACCTCCCCTCAGACCGTAGCTCCAACCTCCCCTCAGACCGTAGCTCCAACCTCCCCTCAGACCGTAGCTCCCAACTCCTCTCAGACCGTAGCTCCAACCTCCCCTCAGACCGTAGCTCCCAACTCCTCTCAGACCGTAGCTCCCAACTCCTCTCAGACCGTAGCTCCAACCTCCCCTCAGACCGTAGCTCCCAACTCCTCTCAGACCGTAGCTCCCAACTCCTCTCAGACCGTAGCTCCCAACTCCTCTCAGACCGTAGCTCCCAACTCCTCTCAGACCGTAGCTCCCAACTCCTCTCAGACCGTAGCTCCCAACTCCTCTCAGACCGTAGCTCCCAACTCCTCTCAGACCGTAGCTCCCAACTCCTCTCAGACCGTAGCTCCAACCTCCACTCAGACCGTAGCTCCCAACTCCTCTCAGACCGTAGCTCCCAACTCCTCTCAGACCGTAGCTCCCAACTCCTCTCAGACCGTAGCTCCCAACTCCCCTCAGACCGTAGCTCCCAACTCCTCTCAAACCGTAGCTCCCAACTCCCCCCAGACCGTAGCTCCCAACTCCCCTCAAACCGTAGCTCCCAACTCCTCTCAGACCGTAGCTCCCAACTCCTCTCAGACCGTAGCTCCAAACTCCTCTCAGACCGTAGCTCCAAACTCCTCTCAGACCGTAGCTCCCAACTCCTCTCAGACCGTAGCTCCCAACTCCTCTCAGACCGTAGCTCACAACTCCTCTCAGACCGTAGCTCACAACTCCTCTCAGACCGCTAGTGTTTATCCAGAGCAGTTTCTTTGTGAAGCCATTGTAGGTACTAAATGAGCTCTCCTCAATGTTCACAATGTCCGTGGTCGACCATAATGCCTCCTCGTCACCATGACGACGCTACGCCATGGGGGGTCCCTGGATGTCTTTATAATCAAGCGTCTTTATACACTGGATTTGTACCAGACGTGTCTTTAACATTGTTTGAATCTCAATAGATTTATAAAATTCCCAAAGCCTTGTCGGTGCTTAGCACGGACCTAGACGCAAAATACTAAAATAATGTCCTTTTTTAAACTATGAAGAACATTTTCCACTTAATTGTATGATTTGTATGTCACAACTATTTCAATTAGTGAAAATGTGATGAAAAAAATTGGTTCTGGTCAGAAGCTGAGTATCTTTGTGGTTGTAGTGCTCAAACCTTCACAATGTCACTGGTTCAATCCTTTTGGAGAACCAAGAAAGGTTTAGTGGCTTTTGATGGCTCGAAATTGAAGCCAGCTGTCCTTTAGTATTTGGAAATACCCAAAGAAACAGCGGATCTTTGAATGTAACAAATCTACACGTTCATACTCTTTTATGTGTTCTAAATATGAATACAACATCCATAATATGTATTATCAGCTGAATATCATGATATTATTCAGCTGAGAATACGTAACTACAAAATGTAGGCCTCACTGTTTATTGAGGTGAAGAGCGTTGGAATGAGTTATCCAGCTGATAAATACATGATTACATAATAAACTAATAAATCATATATGAAAAAACCTTTTTATTGTATTTTAAAGCAATTTCTTCATATCGTTGTTTGCTCAAGACCTGAGGGTGCAATACTTCTTCTTATCATCATCGTCATCATCCATCATACCACTACATACGTAATTTATCTTAGGAACTCCGCTAGAAAGTGAATCTGCTTTGGTCGTTTCAATGTTCCGCTATACTCCGTGTTCCGGCGTTCCGGTCATTAATATGCTAATAGGAATGCAGCAATGGGACGCGGACGAGTTGGCTTTTCTGAACAAAAATACAATTATCATTTGACCAGGATAATTCCGGGGCTTGGTACGTCTTAGGTGAGAATTGTATACCTTCATCTGTTGTCGTTAACGCAAAACTTAACGACATTTTATTTGAAAAATAAACGTTATCAGCAATTTTGACTCATACTTTCTCCCATTAGCATGTCAAAAACTGGTGGGAGTAATTATAATTTTATGGAAAAAATCGCACAAACTTCAATAACTTTTTAACCGGAATTTTTACAGCAATTGGGTTTGTAAAATTTCAAAAACGCCTGGATACGAAATTTCATCAAAATCAGACTACAGGTGTGGTCTGTTAGCTGAATAGGTCTACATATCCAAACACACATACGGATGGACACACACAATATATACATCACTTAGAAAAACCACTTTTCTGGGTTCTGGGGGGGGGGGGGGGGCGCAAAACGGACATTTCTATCAAAAACTCAAACTCTACATTTTGACGAAAATATACTTTCTCCATAAACTATGGGGAGAAAGTAAAAATCAAAGGAAATAGATGAACAATTTTTGAATAAGTTAACTTTACGAAGTTATTCAATAATTTGATTTATTCCCTAAAATACACTTACTCCTGCATAATTTCAGATAACAGAAAGCTATGGACCCAGATCCAGATGTCAGTTTTCATTTGGCTACCCATTTTACATTTTTCATTTGGTAATAATTAAAGACGCTCTCTAACAAAAAGTAAAATCTATACAGTAATAAGATCTGAGTTGGTTTGGAACTCACAAAAATGCGTAAACACTCCCCAACGGAGTGAAACCACGAACAAATACTGATAATTCATTTAGAAATCTCAACAACATTTTACTTTGTTTCAGGACAATGTTACTGAAGAGGTAATCTGCTTGAGTCAACATGGATGAGAGTTCAGCTTCAGCGACAGACGAGGTTGCGACAGAGACGCTAGCGACGTCGACGTCCACCGCGACGACAGAGACCATGGACTCTGCGACAGACAAGACTGACAGTCCTAGCAGCAGTGGACGACACAGCCGCTCCGACATGCTTCCCCCACCACCTCCCCCTGGTAAATAGTGCAAATGTTCAAATAAAATGGTTAGGTTTATAGGTTAGGTTAAACTAGATTAGAGGTTAGGTCGGACTGGACTGAGTAACGTAACGTTAGCTTGGGATCGTGTCGTTTTATGTTAGGCTACGTTAAGTTGAGCTAGGAGGTTGGACTTGTTTAGGCCAGATTTTGTTAGGTTAGTCTGAGCTGGGTAATTTTATTTTAGGTTAGGTTGATTTAGGCTATGTTAGGTTAGATTACATTAGGTTGAGCTAGGCAAAATTGGATGTTGTTAGGCTAGGTTGAGCTAGGCAAAATTGGATGTTGTTAGGCTAGGTTGAGCTGGGTAAGGTTAAGTTTGGTTATTTTGGATTAGGTTAGTTTAGGCTGAGTTAGGTAATATTGGTTTAGGTTATGTTGTTTTAGGTTTGGTTAGTTTTTGCATTCTTAGTTTAGTATTATGCTTTTGCTTTCTGAACGGTTTTGTTTTAAATAAAGTTATACATAGTTACTTTCCATCAAAATATATTTACAACATGGAAATGACATAGGATAGATAATTTTTGTTTGTATGCTTATTCCTATATACTTATATATATATTAAGGTTAAAAAATTTTCTTTAGTATTACAACACAATATAAAATTAAACAATATTAAAATTTATTCGCAGACACATCATCAAGAAATGGAGTGGACAATCCAGCTTTTGAGAGTAACGAAGTAAAGTTAAACATTAACGGAACACATCACCGAGACCCGACGAGCAATGGATCCTTCCTGAACACGACGGTGACAAGCAAAACAGAACCTGAGGAAGATAACAAGAAGGAAGGAGAGATGGCGGAAGCTGTGAACCTGGAACTGGTTAACATGAAACCATTCGGAAACGGAATCAACGGAATCCCAGTCAAAAAGGGAGACTCCTCAGAAGTGGACATGGGAGATCCGTATGACGAGTACTTTGTGCCAGTCAATGAACATAGGAAATATATCAGGTAGGAAACAAAGGAACACGTGAAGTTTTGTGTATTTAGTGTAGGCCTACCTTAGTACCTTGTGTAAAACATTTTTATTTTTTCATAAAAAAACCCTATGGGAAATGTTAAAAAGTGGTTAAAACTCCTCATTCTAATGTTATAAGTCTGAGGAATCAATGTGTATACAAACATTGTCTTCTTAGAGTATCTGAAATTAAAACTGCCTGCATCACTTTTTTTAAAAAGAGTGATGATTCTCTTTCTTTGTGTACATTATATTTTAACTCACATTGTTGCACTGTGTGCTGGTATACTATGTGAAGGCTTAAACAAAATTGCTTGGAGATAATTTGTTATTTTATTTACTTTTGTGAATAAATGTTACCTTCCTCAGAATTATATACTTTTACATCGACCTATCCTCAATATAGGTAAGCAATAAGTGGGACTTTGTTTGGAATCCTCTATGCCCAGAAACTATTTTTACCTTATATCAAATTTTTGTTTTTCTGGAGAGCAGCTACCTATAAAGGTTTATTGATAGAGGGATGGTGGAGAATTGGGAGGAAGAGTCTAAAACTCCTGGTGGATTTATTTCCTCTCTATTGTAACAGTTAAGAAATCAAGCACTATCAACAATTACAGATATTTTCAGTGATTTATCTAATATTTATATTGTTTCAGAGGAGAAAAACTATATGTAACAAAAGACAAGCGGCATCCTCCTACCAAAAAGAAATGTGTTCTTGTCACACTGGGCTTAGCTATTCTTGTAGGAATCCTTTTAGTCATCGCCTTAGCAGCATGTAAGTACCTTCAGATTTTTTCAAAACTAATTTTATTTTTAGTTTACTGACTTAATATTTTTAAAGTTTTACCCTCGTAGTTGTTGCAACCGTGATGAAATAGGAATATCAATGAATTTTAAGTTCGGCGACAACAACATAGACGAACAAATTAATTATTTACTTTCTCACCCTATCCTCTTGTCTCAGTTATCTTACTCTAACCAGGGATATGGGATACCTGTAAGTAGTAAAATCAGGAAATAAAGTAAGATCAGGGAACTCTGTTATCAAATCTATTCCATAGCCTTACAGTTGTCTTTTATTTAAACCATTACATTTTTCCCAGTATCCAATCATTTGGAGGGAGGGTTGGATAAGACAGAAGATCAGATAGTAGAAAATCAGATAATCGAGACTATAGTAATTGGAAAATAGCTGTATCATTATCCAACAGGTTACTGCGGACATTTTCCACCAGTAGTGAAAATCATATATTATGGTTTTTACTAATCCTGATTGTGAACATGCACAGAAATCAGTTAGATAATGATAATATAACTTACCATCACATAAAATGAACCTCAAACAAAGAAATTAGCTTTGTTATAAATTATGGAGTACTGATCAAGTACGTTTTTCATATTTTCAGCTGGAGCACTATCAAATGAAAACGAGTCAACACCGGTAGAAAGTAGGAATTTTGGCACAACAGATCTAAGGTTGGGAGCAGTAGGAGGTGGGTTACGTACCAAACCATCGACAACCCCAGCCACCCCTAGTAGCTCTCAGACAGCTGATCCGCCCTCGTCTACATCCTTCGTACCACCCGCCACCGAGTCACCTTATTACGGTAAGTCTGTCTGTTCAGCTGTTGTAAAATTTTTATCTAACCTTTTCCGCTGTTCCGCATCCTACTGCATATTCATTTTGATATTTATATTTGTAAGATAAAGATGGAAGGAGAGACGCATGATACTAATATTTCTCCTTTTAAGTTCCAAATTGTTAACTAAAGCTAATCGGGTCCTCAAACAGAATTATAATGGAACGTACATGATCTTGTGGATATCTGATAACAACCTTATGGATAGTATTTAAAAAAGTATTTTAAACATTGTATCTAGTAAATTTTGTTGTAATTACCATAGGGAGTGTGTAATTCTATCCCAACAACGATTGATAGAAATATTTCCAATCCGAATACATCAACTATTTCTCCCTAAATTAAATAATAACACATACTGTAATCTCAAAATGTGTAAATTGTATAATATTTGTTGTTAATTACCATACAAATTGCAGAGATTTAAAGTTTAAAAACATTATTTTATTGCTAACTTGGAGTTAACACACATACAAGGTTAAAAAATGTACATATTCTTATTCAAAATTTTTTTTCATGAAATGCTCTCCTCGAATATTAATATAAACAAAAGATAGAAAAAAACATGTTATCACCTCCCGGGATAGTGTGAGTTTTAAGTTAGAAACATGTTGGAAATCTTGATGCAAGTAGATTTTATTTCAAGTCTTTTACAAATATGTCCTTAACTTGCAGTGAAGCGTTCGATAGAGGGTCAAGTTACGATAGACAACATGGAGTTCACTCCAGGCCTCGCCAACCACAGCTCCATGGAGTTCACAACCCTCGCAACATCCCTTGAGGAAGAGGTGAGAAAAAGATGTCTTTGTAGCTAGAAAAAAACACTAGGCTACTAGAACCATAGGTGTGTTTTGAGCACTGTTCCTGGTCAAATGAGCTTAAGACCTTTAAAATATATATATATGCGGATACATTGCCCATAAAGTGTAACATAACCAAACATAGCTCAACTAAAACATCTAATGCGCCTAAAATGTATCTACAACCTGGAAGTAAAGTTAAGGTCAAATTTGTGTGGGCTTTGGGTTAATCACAGGTGTTAGTGCAGTAGACTGTCTGGCCTGATGAATGGTCGAGCAGACCAAGGGGCTGTCCAGGCTAGGAGCCAGCACCATAGGTTCAGAGTTCAAATCCCGTCTCCGTCTGGTTTGGTGTGAGACTCATGAAGAGTTCATACGTCTGTTGAACCTTTTAAATCTGTGGACAGCTCAGTTGAAGTTGACAATATGCTTGGATTCTTTCCTAGTTATGTCTGATAGTAAAACACTACATGTTGTATTTAAAACATTACTTTTCATTTTACAGTTGAAAATGGCAATCTTTGACCGGCAAACACTAAACTATGGACCAGCTGATATATTTGTCAAGGTTCTGGAGTTTTCGTAAGTATATTTACCATTTTAGATTCAAATAAAGCAATAATTCGTTTACACAAATTTACATATTGATCAGTTTTAGTGAAGCCAGTTAATAGTTATTGACAGTAACCAAAAGTTAATGGTTGAATTAAATGGAAGGAATAAAATATCTAGGATATGATTCACAATAATGGTTTACCAAGTTTCTCGTCTGGTCACTCTATTCAAACAACCAAACTGTGAAGAGGGTGAGAATTTGTTCTAAATAGTAATTTTTGCAAGACTGATTCATTTTATGAAATAATTTAATGTTATGTTTCTGTTTGATCAGATTTTACGATACTGTAATTGTTATTGAATCTATTTACAATTAATTGCCTTTATTTATTGACAACATTTGTATGAGAAAAGAAAGCTTTAATTGTTAGCTTTTTGTTTTACTCAATAAATCCTCCCTCACATGAATGAAATTTTAATTATCTAAATGACCACTGTGCTGATTTACATTAGCTTTAATTGCATTTTAACAATGTTTTTGCAGGCCTGGCAGTGTAGTAGTGAAGTACAGGATTGGATGGACGTTCAAGGAAGGAATCCGTAACCCACCTGATCCAGTAACGGCAGACTCATTGAAACAAAGGCTACAGGATCATTTACGATCAACTGACGGTTTTCTGTATAACTACCGGCTGCCACTGCACTCGTTACAGGCTGAACGTAAGTTCTCGCTTCCTATCAGTGACCAATCTAAGTAGTTAAAAATGTTCATGGACAATTGACCTGAGTCAAACATAAAGTCTTATAAAAAGCTAAAGCAATTTTCAGAATACACATTGTCCCTCTAATTGCAGAGCCAGATCTGGCTCTCTAATTTAGGATAATGCAGCTACTTGGTTTGTAAAGTCTGGGTATCCCCCTAGTGATCGTAAAGGGCAATCATTCACTATTTGACTGACCGTTTTACTTGTATAACCCAATCCAACCTAACCCATCTAATTGCAGACCCATACCTACTCACTTGGGGATAGGGAGACAACCTCCCTGACAATTTCCATTACTCCTTGTGTGGTCAAAAATAAATAATTATAGCACCAAGCAATTGGAAATATAATATCTTTGGATCAAAGCCATCGAAGTACTTTTAATTAGTCGTAGCTTAACTGAAAACCCTGTTTAGCTCCCAAATTATTAGTTGTCCCAACCAATGGAATCGGTAATAGCATGTAAACCGTTTAAGCTCGGTTATCTTACACATAATGGTTTTCTTTGCAGGCGTCGTGGATGCTTGCCAGGTGAACAACGCCGGGTGCTCTGATCATTGTGAGTTTGATTACGACCTTCTTGAGTTCATGTGTCACTGCCCAGACGGCTTCGTGTTGGCCTCCGATCAGAAAACATGCCAGGAGCCAGGTAGGTCTAGTCTGTGATTTCATAGACTTATTTTAATTTTTGACAGTGTTAAATTTTAAGATCCTGGTGAAAAGGTTATTCACAATGGTCAATAAAGTACACAATGGCATAAAGTATAAATTTATGCAATTTCAAATTCCCTTGCCAGCTAAAATAAACACCTCTGAATTACTTTGATGTGTTGGCTACTTTAATTAATTTAGATTTATAAGTATGACGAAACCTCATCACATGAAGGCTATTTGTTTATTGATGAGTCACATATACTTACTTATAGACACTAGAGCACTGTAAAAATTACACACTTTTTTCTAATAACTCTTGGTGTTCTTTTAAGCAATAACTAGATAGGTAAAGCATATTAGTAAGTGTATTTATTCTCTTCAAAAAACTAAATACCAGTTGTATTGTTCACAGAGATGGCACATCAACCATCAGCAGAACCAGAACCTTCAGCAGAACCGGAACCTTCTTCTAAACCGGAACCTTCATCTGAACCGGAACCTTCTTCTGAACCGGAACCTTCTTCTGAGCCTGAACCTTCATCTGAACCGGAACCGTCTTCTGAGCCTGAACCTTCTTCTGAGCCTGAACCTTCTTCTGAACCTGAACCTTCTTCTGAACCGGAACCTTCTTCTGAGCCTGAACCTTCTTCTGAGCCTGAACCTTCATCGGAGCCAAAACCGTCATCTGAATCAGAACATGAAGAACCATCTGAAAATATGAATATCCATCATATGTCTGAAAAACAGTCTGAATCAACTCCTGCTCCCGAACCATCTGCTGAACCTGAACCAAAATTAGAACATGAAGCAGCATCTGAAAACTCAAATACTGCATTGGAACACATGAAAGACCAACAGTCTGAGCCAAGTTCAAAACCAGAACCAGCATCTGAACCTGAACCATCTGTTAATCCTGAGCCATCACCTGAACCTTCTACAGAACCTGAACCGCAACAAAACCAAGAATCATCAGTTAATCATGTTGGAAACATTGTAGAAGATACTTCAGAAAAAGAACCACCAGCTGAACCTGAACCTTCTGCAGAGCCTGAGCCATCTGCAGAACCTGAACCTTCTGCAAAACCTGAGCCATCTGCTGATCATGAACCTTCTGCAAAGCCCGAGCCATCAGCTGAACCTGAACCATCACCTGAACCTTCTGCAGAACCTGAACCACAACAAAACCAAGAATCGTCAGTTAATCATGTTGGAAACATTGTAGAACATACTTCAGAAAAAGAACCATCAGCTGAACCTGAACCTTCTGCAGAGCCTGAGCCATCAGCAGAACCTGAACCTTCAGCAGAACCTGAACCTTCAGCAAAACCTGAGCCACCTGCAGAACATGAACCCTCTGCAGAGCCAGAGCCATCAGCTGAACCCGAATCATCAGCTGGATCTCAAAAAAATTTAAAAACAGAATCACAAAAGGACATTGAAATAATGCATGAACATGAAATGGATAAGTCAAAAGACTTACCCAAAGAATCTATGGTTGCAGTAACTGATTTACCTGGAGTCAAGGGACCTATGACTGATGATTCTGAACATCACTTAGAAACAGGTTCAGAAAGAATAAAGGAGGTTTTAACATCATATCACGACTCTGCCTCTGATAACCCACATCACGAGAAACCATCGGTTGATGATAAATCAACAGAAGAAAACAAACATCTAGAATACGAAGGAAGATCTCATGGAAGTGATATATTTGCATTTGTGCCAAGTGGTGCTGAAAATAATCAAACAGAAATGCCTCACGATGTTAATGAGATCGATGAGAACCCATCATTAACTTATGATAATCCAAATGAAAAACATAGTAACCATGAAGATACACTTCATAATCAGTATGAACAAAATCATCATGAAATTGGCTCAGATAAAACTGAGAGTCATAGCACTGACAATAATTCTGGGGTCACACATGAAAATGAGATGCCTCCGACAAATGAAAATCCCGAATCTCATGTCGATGATAAAATACCACATGATATCTATGTTAAAAATGTTAATGCTGTTGATACTACAACCTTACCACCCGAGGAAATAGACCCTATGGAGTTTAGTGAGGGAATCAATGGAGGAACACCAGTGGTTAATTTATCAATGTCTGATCTGATAAATGGTAAAGATAAGTCCTTTGGTGTGATGCACATCATCCATGATTCAGTTATGGAGCACAGTGCTGAAGTAAGTACTGTGAAGCATGATTCTGGTCCTGAAGAACAAGATAGTACTGAACTACCTAATGATTCAGAAAATGCTCTCAATAACGAAAAAACAAATTTAGGTGTAAACGAACATAATTTACATATTAGTGAAACAACTGCTCACAATTGGCTGTCAAATGATGAGACTACTGTGCATCCATTGTTTCCGGATGTGAAAGAACAAATCAAAATGTCTGTTACTGATTCTGAAACTACAATAGATCCTCTTTTCACATCAGGAAACAATTCAACATTGAATAACACAGTGCATGAGAAGAAAGATGAATCATCCACTTCAGATTCATCAATTTTGTCAAATATTGACACTACGATAAACCCTCTGTTTCCTGTTGAGGCGAAAATGTCAACAACCACATTACAGCCTGAAATCAAAGTTTCGTCAGAATCGCCTGCAAGTAGTTCTTTAGATAATGAAGTCTTGACCACTATTAACCCTCTCTTCCCTGTTCCAGAGAAGCAAGAGCAAAACATGAACTCTACAACAAATACCGAACATAAAACTACCACTGGAGCACCTATCAATAGTGTACTCAATGATGTTGCGAGCACAATTGTTCCTCTATTCCCTATGTTAGATAAAGAGGCAACTAACCCAACATCTGAAAAACCTGTTAGTAAAGTTAACGAGAACCAAGAAAAGAGTTTGGATTTTTTCTTGAACGATGCTGAGGCAACAATACATCCCTTATTTCACAATGAAAGGACAACAGCTAACAGTCAGGAATCTGTCATGAAAGAAACATCTAATGAAAATGTTACCGATGAACAAAAATCTCTTACACTAAATGGTGTGGATACAACGAATTTGACTGACACTACAACTGTTCACTCTGACCTAAATAGTAGCATTCCTGAGAACACTCACAATCCTTTATTCACACCAACTGAACCCAGTAATGACAAAGTTAAAGAAAGAGAAATTGCTTCTTATATAAATGAGAGCCAAACTAATGGCAATGACTTGGATAAACAGTTGAATGAACACTCCAATATTGTTGAAAAATCTGTTACTGAAGGAACAACTTCAAACATTAGTCCTCATGAAGATCCTCGGATTGGATTGATGGATGAAACTAAAACACTTGAGCATTTACATGTTAATAAAACTTCAGAAGACCCCCGAATTAGTGTTGATAGCAAAGGCACTGAAAATAACCTTGAAATCCATTTACAGCCAAATAACGACCCCAGAATAGGTTTGTATGACACCAATCAAACATTTGGCTCTACAGAAAATAATTTCGACCATGAAGTAAAAACTGCAAGTGATCCAAGAACAGTAGAAAGAGAGAGTTCTTTTTCTGACTTTTCAAATGAGTCAGGTGCAACTCAAGTTCCTATTTTTACTAAAGACGTTTCAAATTCTAGTCCAGCCATGAATACTGACTTGCAGGATACATCAACAAGTTCTAGCTTAGTTGTAGACAATTTTGTGAAAGATGGTAACAAAAGTCATATTCAGTTTTCAAGCACAACTTCTCCTATGCCACATGACAATTATGACTTCCAAAAATCTGAATTCTTAGATGAATATTCAAGTAGTAAGAGATTGAATGCTGAAGACCTTGAGAATGACACAAACAAAGACATAAATGATGTGAATGATAATATTTTTAATGGCACCTCTTATGACCAGGGCTTGATTTTACAGAACATAAATGAAGATGACGAGTCTTCAGAGAAATATGCGTTCAATGAAAAAGATTCCTATGAGAAAAACGAATTCAAGAAGAAAGAAAAGAAAACAGTTAAGCATGACGACTCTGAAGTAATTAAGTCACTTTATGAAAAGAAAAATAAATTGGATAAAGAAAGGAAGGCAGACAAGTTCAACCAACTATCCCAAGATCATGGTGTAGAGTCATCTTCTAATCCAGCCACTGAATCAAGCTCTAATGAAACTATTTCACTTACAACCTCTCCACATCACCCTGTTGACAATCAAGACTACGGTAATGGAGTGTATGAACTAGATGACAAGAAAAATAAGAAGAAATTCAACAAAAAGTCAGATGGAAAACCGTCATCTGATATTGGCCCAGGAGACGTTCATGAGCCAGTTTACAACGGAGCTGATGAAACGTCACCAGAATCAGTAAAGGATGTCAACACAGAACCGTCAATTTCTGAAAGAATCCTTGCAGAATCACCCACTATTGCTGAGGAAAACAAAGATGCAAATAACGAAAAGGTAGAAGAAAACAAACCAGGCGATTCAGTAAAAGAGAATGTTCCATCAGATAAGGAAAAATCAACAGAGCTTCATTTTGAATCAGTAAACAATCAGTCTTTGAATGATTCTTTCATGGGCATGAGCACCGTGGACAAAAATTCACCATTTGGATTCTCAAAGTGTGCCTCAGGTAAGAAAATATCCTATTAAGTTATAGTGTATTACGCTACAAGGGAATTCAATCGCATATCACGCTCGTACGATAAACACTTTCCCAGTTGAGTTGCGAATTATACTTTTTGTCATACTATTAGCAACATTAGTAACAAGTTTTTACAATAAGCGTTTTGCTAATTTAGACATTTTGAATAACATAACACATCATTAACCTTACTAATATTTTGATAATTTCACCGCTTCAAAATCTAGAATACCAGTTTTTGGATTTATCATTTGGTTTGACTACTGTTAGTTTCTTTTGACTTAACAATCATTTCATGTGGAATTTATAATATTATCTATCATAATGCATCTTTTGTAATAAATTAATTTGTAAATGATTACAATACTCTACACAACAACTGACAAAATAGTGGACAAGTCTATTATGCACGGGAGAGGGTAATTTTGTTTAAAGAATATTAAGAAAGCTGACCGGTAAAAATACCATACTCAGCTGCCTCTACAGGTCCCTTTCTGTAAACAATGATTAATCTAAAAAGAGGTCAGAAAACAGCTGCTTGTCCAAACATACAAACTTCTATTACATTGACGTATTAAAACTTAACTAGTATCCCTGTTGCTCGATTTCGAGCAATTGGTAAAAGGCGTTTTTTTTTTTTCGAATAACAGTCATAATTTCTTGTGACTTTAAAAGATTTGACTCAAAGATTATGGAAATACTCAAGATGTACATAACAGATCGATATAATAAACATTAAGTTGTCCATAATAATGAATACAAACTCTAAAAAAAACACATTATTCATATTTCTTCTCCTTGGTGGTGTTCTATGACTTTCCTATGTTTATATAGTTTGCAAATCTGCTCTTTCAATGATTACTAAGAAATGCAGCAGTGTTAATTCAGTTTTCTTTTTATAATATAAAATTATTCAGGCACTCTCACTCATTGACTGTTTACAATTAACATTATGTTCTTCTTCTCACTTTTAATTTCTGAAAACAGCTGGAGTTTCATAACAATTTTTGTTTCCCATGTTAATCTTATGGAGAAATACAAAACTTTAAAGGGCCTCACTCTCTAATTATTTTCCTAAAAAGAAAGTTTCCTGCACAACTTCACGTTACGCTCTTTCCAATGACACCGAAAACATGTCAATCGGTTCAGTAGGTAGTTTCGGAGGAGTAATTGTCACAAAAAACCTGCTTGCGTATTAAATAAGTATAGATTTTACTCATAGTTTAGTTTATAAGTGTAACTACTTATAACTTAGCTCATAACTCAAAATATAAGATATTAATTCCAACTATGTATGGACAACACCTAAATTCAGTCAAAAGTTTATAAACTATCTAATTTACTTTTTGATAAATATTCAAGGTACAATGTTATACTTTAGTTACCTCAGTGAGATGTGTTTGTTTGATGCTACAGGCCAGTTCCAATGCACCAACGGAACCACCAGGGAAGGCGCTTACTGTGTTGCACTCTCCGCTAAGTGTGATTCAGTCAATGATTGTTCTGATGGATCAGATGAAGCCGGTTGTGTCCAAGATGGATGTCCTGGAAACTTCCAGGTAAGTTTTGCTCACCCATTCATTTCCAAATAACTTCTTGATTAGAATTTTACGCGTTGGTGTTTAGTTACCTTTTGACTGCATCTTACTATCATAGCCATTATGAATTAGTGCAACAGCTGTTTTGGTAGGCCGGTATTGTGGCGTTGCCACTTTCTTCTCACCGCTAACTTGTATTAGTGTAGGCTATTTTTACTATTCAATATATCTACACTTACACTGTAAACATTTACAAGATTTTGAAAATATATAAGATATTAAAACGGCAAACAATTATTTTCAAGTCACACTGGTCATCAGGCCCTAGAAACATCTGAAAACATATAATTTTTGTAGTGTGTAATTATAAGTAAATTACCTTAGTCATTATTTGCTTATTATTATACGCTTACAATAGTTTAGAAGTGTGCTCAATTAGATCTTCAATTACTGTACATTCTTCAAATTCTCTTTGTTATTTCAGTGTGCCAGTGGACAGTGCCTAAAGAGACATTTAGTATGCAACAGCATTGTTGACTGTAACGATGGGAGCGATGAGCAGAATTGTGGTAAGTGTGATCATTTTATACTTAAAGTCAGGACTACGAAAGTTTGCAGTTGGCAGCCAATCACAAGACAAGGCTAGAGCGACGTTGCCATATCGCCCGTTGACGACACTAATTAAAATACTAAACAATATTTTCAAATCAGCTGGTATTATTAGATTTGGCAACACCGCACTGTCCTCAATGGCTACTTCGAAGTCACGTGGTAAATAGGCTCTTCCCTCTACTGCAAACTTTCAAGGGTCCCGACTGTAAGCGAATTTTTCATAAAGGAAATAAGCTATTGAAATACAAATGTTTTAAAACTGTACATTTCTATGTCATTCTTATGGAGAAAAAGTAAACTGTTGTAGTTTGCTTGGTTTTGAAATTATTATGATCAAACTTGGCAAATACTTTTATTTCAACTTATCTATTAACGTTTTACAAAAAAACACACTTTTCCCTTCTTGTATCAACAAACCTAGGTTCTCGTTATATGTAATGTGATTTATATAGGGAATACGACATTTTTTAAGGTAATGTTTTAGTAACAATCCAATCAGGAAATGGAAATTCCCTTAGTCAGGTTTGCTGTGGTGGGGGTACTTACATTTACCAATAAGTAACAACGGCTTGCCCATGTTTCACAATCTGTGGTGTTGCAGATGAATGGAAATGCCTGTTTGATGAGTTGCAATGTCCGTCCGGTCGCTGTGTTCCTGTTTTATGGCAATGCGACGGCAAGCCCGACTGTGACAACCATACTGACGAGTTCAACTGCCAGAGTAAGTATTCAGTCACCATAAAAACTCACCAGTCACCATATTTATACCGATCCATATAGAACTTTATTCTTGAATCTAGTCTTTCACGGCTGGTGTTTTAAGATAGTAGCTTTCAGCCTCAATTGTGTTGTAAGCTTGTGATTGCTGCAGGATGTTTCGCCCTACTCTGAAGAAGTATCCTGAGTCTCATCATAGCTACCAGGATTCTCCTTCAAAGTAAGGGTGTTTGTCTGGTAACGGTCTCCAACTGACAACGCAAAAAAACATGGATTCAAAAATTTTGTTGTGAGGTGAAAAACAAAAAGTGACCTCTTGTCGGCAATTTCCGATTTTGATGTATGGAAGTTTGAACTTTCATTGGATGTAGGGCAATTTGAAAAAAAATCTATTTTAATATTGTTTAAAATAAATTATATAGGCTATTTTGATTATTTTTAAATTTAAAATCAATTCAAAACTCACAATCTCCCCTTTTGAAGGAACAACAGTATTTTCCTTGTAGGCTGTAGATTTTTGACAAAATTATCTTGTCGTTCCTGTTTGCTGTCTGATGTTGAGTGATTGTAATGTTGCAGCATCTTGTGGTAACAACGAGTACCTGTGTCCCGAGGGTTGGTGTATCCCACAGACTTGGAGATGTAATGGAGAGCCGGAGTGTGCAAATGGAGAAGACGAGAAACTCTGTGGTAACTATGCATTTGATTGGCAATTCATAGTAGTCCCGATTATCTGAACTAGGCCAGTCGTGGCAAATTTCAATAAGCAGTAAGGTCAAATAATACGGAAAATTTATGTAAACCGATTGGCAAAGAGTTAAAAGTTTTACTTCAAGTTTATCTTTAATTGAAATCAGTATTTATTTATGAATCACAAAGACTATAAAAATCAACACAAACTGGCAAAAAACCAACCATAGGTCTTTGTTTACGTGGCTAAAGAGGAGTAACAGAGAGGAGGTAATGACACAGAATGCTAAACCAATCAGATAGTACATCCAAATGCAGGTGACTGAATTATGGCTTGTACCTTTCGAGTACAGCAGACTTCCAACTATCTGAATCATTTGAGACGGTACCATAATTGGATAGTCAAAGGTTGGTATGGTTGGGCTTTTTCTGAAATTTGTGTTACTTTATAGGCAGAGTGGAGCCAACCTTTTACTATCGTGATTGCAGAACACATCTGAAAAAGATTTGACAAATAATTCACTCTTTTACCCTAATTGCGGAGGACAATATGATGACAAGAGCGTAGAATATGTTCAAGATTTTACTGTAATCGTGGAAAACGATGATGATGTTTATAGGATTTATGGAGAACTGCTGGAGATTTTCAGGAGTTTGCCGCGATCACTATACACATGTTACAATATAACTGGATTTTTAAATGTACTGTACCAAACACCACAACTGTTGCACCAGCTGTAACCATTGTTGTGTTTGTGTAGACTGCTCGGTAGACCAGTTCCGCTGCAGCACGGGAGGTTGTGTTGACGCAGCACAAGTCTGCGATGGAGTTGAGCAGTGTCCAGACAACAGTGATGAGTGGGACTGTGTACAAGTGGACGCCATGGACTTGCAGATCAGGTAATGTGAAAGATGATGTAGAGAAGATAAAGCAGTGGTGGGTTCAGTGAATGACTGTTTCGTATAACAAATTTCATATAAAGCTTTTTAATTTGCTTGGCTATCACAAATGTTCTTAAACTCTGGAGCCTAATTGGAACCTTTAAACCTTGTCACTGGTTTAAGTTGAAAGTGTCAATCATCCTTTTGTAAATCAAACAAAATTAAGTGTTCCAACCAGTTCATCTTCAAGCTGTATTCTGAATTAAGTGCTTTGCTAGGAAAGACAAATAATCTGACCTGAAAGCATGTGGAACTGCCATATGAGTGCGCGTTCATTAACGTATAATGCAATGATTTATGTGCATTAAATTTAATTTTTCAACTCTCTGTTTGAACATAATACATACAGTTTTATCATTAGGAAGTTCAGAAGAATACAGGCAATAAGTTTAAACAATTTATTACACTGTAGCTTACCAACGCAACCGTCTTGTTTACAATCGAGTGAAATAGGCTGGTACATAGATAATTGTGAATAGTCTTCCAAGCTTTCAGGGACGGATAATAATCCAAGATAAAATAATAATGAATAAGGAAGGTCGTTTTTGTAAGTCACTAAAAGGAGCAAAATAAAGGAATTCCTGTGTGAAATCGGGTAGTCCAATTTTCAGCATGGCAATGGGTTGAAAGCCCAATGATCAAGGACATTTGTTTCGCCAGGACCAAGGACGAGTGGCTGCCTGTCTGCGCCACTGGCTGGACCCCCGAGTGGAGCCATGCAGCTTGTCAAGGTCTCGGCTTTGCCAAGGCACAGTTCACGGAGATGAGAGCTGCAGATAACTCAACTCGCCACTTCACGCTCAAACCTGACGCCCGATGGGACTCTGGACATCGTCTTACTGCAGCCGTCACGCTGAGCGACCAACCCTGCGAGGCCTTTGTGGAACTCACCTGCCAGGAGTTCAGTGAGTCTTTTGAAATTTTAAATACTATGTTGATCATACGCTATGGAGTTATGGTATGAACATTCTCCCTTTTGTGAAAAACAAGTTTTGACGACGTTTTGGATGTTGAATGTGATCTAGTCCGCTAATGTGGAAGTACTTACTGTATTACATCACAAGATTAGTACACAAACCTAGCCAAAGCTGGATAATCTCAAAAGAACAACCATATGGTGAACTGTCTAGTTGGTAATACAGGAAAAATCTAGATAGAGAACAACAATTTCACACATTAGTTTAACAACATTTGGTGCGTTGCTAGCCCAGTGGTTATTATCTCAGACTTCAGAGTGGGAGGGTCAGGTTCGAATCCCGGAATATCCCCAAAACCTGGTTTTGACTGCTTGCCATAAAAGTGTTTAAATACTCCCCCTCTACAAGCCTCCTCTGAAAATGCTACTGGCGTAAACAAGAAAAAAAATGATTCAACATTTTGTTCAGCATTTTTTTCCTTTTTTGGGTTACTATAACATTTTCTGTGTGGTTTTTCACTTGTGCTAGGGACAAAATAGTTTCTCATCTCGTCCCAAAGTTAAAATTTGTGTTCTGCAAGTCTAGCTAAAGAGTTAACTAAACCTACTTGTAATTTGTAATTCTAATATTTTTTCAGCGTGTGGCAACCCTGGGCCATCGGAAGGAGTTGCGGCCAGACTGGTTGGTGGTAACAGTGCTGCCAACGGTCAATGGCCGTCAGTGGCCATCCTCTACCAGAACAAGACAAAGGCATCCTGTACAGCCTCCATCATCAGTCCTCGCTGGCTTCTGTCATCTTACAACTGTCTGCATTCCAGGTATGTTGTACCACTAAGATAAACAAAAATGAAATAGATCGATAATTATTGAATTAAACTTGTTATTATATATAGTGCTTATTATCTATATCTATAAAATCCAATGTATGTTTGTTAGTATGTTTGTCCTTTATGGACTCCAAAACCGCTCGACAGATTGTAATGAAGATTTCAGGCATTATTAAGCATTATTCAAGGATGGTTTGTGTGAAGTTTGATGCAGATCCGTCAAAAGGGCTCCGCCCCAGTGGATCTGGAGTTTCCCATGTTAACCTTATGAGTATACTCATATTTAAATGGAATTAAAGAATCTTAACAGCTGGTTCAACTAAACTATCTGATTCTGTGATGTTCAATAACATTAAAAAGTTAATAGGTTTACCAACAGGGTGCAGCACTATATTTTTTTAAGTTATGAGAATAGCTAATTTGCAACCAAAATGTGAGTGAGCGTAGCGAACGAACTTCAACCTGGAGGCGAGTTAGCGTAGCGAACGAGCTAACCTGAAGGCAAGTGAGCGCAGCGAACGAGCTTCAACCTAAAGATGAGTGAGCGTAGCGAACGAACTTCAACCAGGACGTGATTGAGCCATGCGAACGAGCTCATCTTGAAAATGAACGAGCATGTGACATAAAACCACAATAGGACAGGACGACGTCTGTCGGGCCAGCTAGTATTATATATAAACGTATTTACTGGTCCTTTTTTTAACTTGTATCAAAATTTAACTGTATCTTTTATACATTCTTTTTTGACCTTGTTTTCTAGTAGAGTAGAACAATACTACACCTTAATGAACCTTAATTATCAGAATCAATTGGGAATGTACCACACATTCGGATAGACCAAAATTTAAGCAGGTAGTTGGATCGTTACTAAAATTCAAGGTAACTTGTAAAATATAGGTTTAGTTGAGCTGAGCTTTTACTTTCTCAATCACAGAACGCATCTGCAAAGATTTTCAGAAATTAAAGAGATGATTTTCTGTGACCTCTGGTGACAATGATGATGTCTATGTTTGAAAAACCTTAGAAGATATTCAATATTTTTTCACGATTGCGACTTCTGCCTCCTTTAAATGAAAATTCTTATTTCAGGGACAAATCGCTGATGTCTGAGGGCTGGGTTGCGTTCGGAGGAGGCTCCATGTTCGAAACTGACAAGCCTGAGACTCAAGTTCGTGTTGTGTCAGAGATGGTTCCGTATCCCCAGGTCAAGTTCAACCGCTTCCTCTACTCGGACGACGTGGTGCTCGTAGCGCTGCAGGAGCCATTCGCTCTCTCTCGCTACGTGGGAGCCATCTGTTTGCCGGAGAAGGAGATAGAACCTAGACAGATCTGCGTCACTGCAGGCTGGGGCTACACTTCCCCGGGAGGTTAGTAACCTTGACTTTTGATAGGAGCGCAAAATTTATGAATATGAGTTATAGAAAATATAAGCTTTGGAATAACAATTGGCCTTTCCAAATATATACATTGTATTACCCTTCATCGTAACATTACGTATTGCTTTTGTAAAATAAAAATATACTACTTTGTTTCCTTGCGCACTGCTACAACACTTTAGAGCAGCTGTTTATAAAATGTTTCCTACAGCAAAAAATAGCTTGATTTGGAAAAAAATATGAAAACTTCTTTGCAATGGTAAAGGATTTGAATGAAATTAGTTTCATCCTACAGGGCATAAACTCTGTTTTGGCGTGTCAGTGTACAAATTGACAAAATTCGGCTCATTGAGCTAAAGATAGAAGGTTAAACATTTTTTTTCTACTTGTAACTTAAAACTTGTAGGCCTACCCTAAATTGAAATTATAAATTCATCTTTGTGTGAGACCCAATAATCCTTATTTTAAATCTGACAAAAAAATCATAGCACAGTCCAAAAATAAATAAAACTGATATACAAATATCAAAATAAAACGTATAATGTATTCATATTTTTACACATTTTTCAAGTAAATGTTCTGTGTTTTCAGAGATCAACTTTAGTCAGTATCTGCACTATCTGCCGGTGCCTACGATAGACCTAGCCGAGTGCAACTCCACCAAACACTACGCCGGGTTTGTGTCCCACCATGAGATCTGCGCAGGTTTCACAGATGCAGAGAAAACTCCTTGCTACGTAAGTGTATATGTACATACATACAATTCTACTACTTCCTTCTGAAGAAACCTCTTATAAAGGCTTTTTTGTGTGCAATGTAAAGTTTTATGTCTCTTGTGACAGAATGGACTCTTTCCGATCCAGAAAAGTCTGTTACAAATAATCGTGGAAACCTTGGTCCTTGTGCTCTATGCTACATCATCTAAATTTGTAACTATATTGATCAATAGGATATCCACATAACTACATTTAGAGGGTGTTTCAACCCTGCATGGTCAAAACTTAATTCTCACTCTCTGAAGATTTTTTTAGAAACAGTTTCTGTTAACAAAATATATTTAATTAAAGAGATCATGGATGATGGTAGCAATTAAGCTATAAGCTCGTGGTTTTGGTACCTAAAATTCTAAAAATCAACCACTTTCTAATCAACATAATATGTCGTTGATTTGACACATAGCTATCAAAGTTATGTGTGTATGTGATACATAATAGCTTGTGAACCAAATGGATTGTGGGTTGCTTACTAATGAGAGGTTTGCCAGTTCGATCCTGAAAAAGTTAGAAGCTTGATGGTTCAAAACTGTACCCAACTATCCGTGACTATTGGACTTTTAATGAATGGTCCTAACATAGGAACAGCTGATCTCAGTCAGTAACAAAGCTGCACATATCGTCTCAAACCATTCTACACTCTTCCTCCACTCCTTACTTATCTTTGCCTCAATGTATGAACTCTGGTGTATTTAGTAATAATGAAATCTACGTGTCATTGTCTAACTAGTGTTGTGATGTGTAGAAGGACGAAGGAGCGCCACTGATGTGTGTCAGCGAAGGAGGAGTCTGGGAACTACAGGGAATCTTGAGTTACCATAGTCACTGCGGCCGCGGCTTCCATCCCTCCATCTACAGCTCTGTGGCTGCTGTGCGCGGCTGGATCGAGCACACTGTCGGCAGCAGGTTTGAGCGCAAGTCCACCTTCAACGTGCGCAGGTGATAATCGACTTAGGACTCTCACGCTAGTTGTGGAAGATATAACTGAAGTAAAAAATGAAATGTAAATTAGGATCTGACGGACTTATCAAACGTTCAGTTTGAATACTAAGTGAAGTAAACTGAGCTAGTCATCGAAGATTGTAAATGATTCTTTGGCTCTTTACCATTGTGAAGCGTAGACTTAGGTCTACCAGCAATTATTGTACATGTGAATCATACTCGTTTTGAATTAGTTTGTTAAGTAGGTAGATTTTATTCTGTGAAACATATTTGTTCTTAAGTTGGTAAAAAGAATAATTTTTCTTGTAAAAACTATTGATTGAATGTTTCAAAACAGTTTTGAGGTGTGGTTGTAAAATATTATGCAGAGATTAAAACACTCAAAGTTTTATCTTTACAAATTAAGTGAAAAAAGGTCAAAAACAACATCAAAATTATCATGTTTGATCTAAAATATAATGAAGTATTGAATCTCATGGTACATTACGAGTGACTGTTCACAGCTATTCTTTTGACCCTCTTGTAACTTCTTCTTCTCTTCACCTGTTTCACAGAATCCTTTTCCAATGACGTTTATAAAATCATTAGGTGTAATGACATAAGATTGTACAGCTAGAAATGGATGCCATGTGTACGTTAATGTTTATAGAATGCTCAAAGAATGCCGCAAGGCTTGTGGGTAGTTCCTTCATTTTGGCCATGATAGAACTCGTCAACCATAGGAAAGGAAACACTTGTAATATTGTTAGACTTGTAAGTAGTTGTAAGTTAGACAACGTGATGTCTTCCAAGAGCATGCGGTTGGATGTAAACTATTTTAGTATTCATACTTTGTAAATAACGTTTGAAATAGTTTTTAACATTTTGTACATGTAAAAATGCTTCTTCGGTGCCAAATTATTATATCGCAAATTGATCGCATTGTAATATATTAATCTTGACTTCAAAAAGCTTGTTATAGGTCAACAAATCTCGACATAAAATATCATTGAATTACCAATTGAAAGGCTGGTGCGTAGTCAAATAAAAAGTACTTTGAGAAATTTTGGCCAAGGTAATCACTTTATATAGTTATTATTTTCATTTGTTCATGTCTAAAAATCTGGTAAACCCATCTTGTTAACATTTTGCTAAGTTTAGCCTTGAATTATTGTAAATTATATATTTTATAAGTCCTTCACAAAAAAGTGCCTTGCAATAGCATCTTAGTATAGGTAATAAAATGTAAATATTAGTCAGTTAGATATAGTCCTCCTTCATAACACAACTCTAGTGTTAATTGTCTTTATTTTAAAAACAAACAGAATATACGTCTTTACGAGATACTTTTATAGAAAAAAAAACTGCCACAGGTATGGTTCAGGATACCTCTTTCTAAAAGAAAAACAACAAATTGCATTTATAAATAGGTGCATTTATCCTAGTGTAAGATATTTTATTGTATCATAGTCTAATTCTATATCCGTCCATAAGTACTGTTGTATTTCATAATGTTGAATCCATGTATATTAGTTATATTGAAATTGTTAATTTGTACAGTTTTGTTTAGAATAACATAATTATTCAGTGAAATGTGTTGATTCATTTCAAAGAATTCCTGAAATCCTGTTCGACCAATTGACATACAGTTACGAGTGTAGTTTGTCACAGCATTTTGCGGATAGTGGCGCTTTTTGTTTGTCGAGTCTCGCCTGCGTGTGACACAGAGAAGTGAGCAACAGAGGAAACACTCAATGGAAACACTTAAGTGGTGTCTAGCACTGCACGAGTTCAACACCGCCCCCCTCGCACTCATGAACTGATGTAGACTCTTCATGGTAGAGGAAGACCCTGTGCCCTGTGCAATAGGAGTTCCCGCATAGTGCTCGCTGCTTGGGCTCTTCCTTACTCGTCACAAATATATTTCCGACACAACATACTAGCGCAAAAAGCGTACAGTTGTTCCATAAGCATGTTTCCTCTGCTAAGTTAAATAAGACCTAGCACTGACGAGTGTAGCTCTGGGGGCTTTCTACATGCGCGGGTGAAAAATAGAAATGTGGTTATAAATATTACACTCTTATTTCAAAACAAGTTTTTTATTACAAAACACTCTTATATAGAAAACATATGATTCATTACCAACATGGCTTCTTAAAACAAATCTCCTTAAAGTAATACTGGAATGAAACGAGTTTCTGATCCTATGACTAGCTTAACATGCCTGACACTTTGGTCAGGAATCTAGTGAAACTAATATCTAGGATTCCTACAGCAGTCAAACTATCCAATGTACTTAAAAATCTTAGGTTATTTTGATCAAAGATGCTAGTAATAAATTCAAAATTACAAAAGCTAGTGCTACCGATTTTGTATTTACAATAACTTAACCTGAATATTAGAACTGATCAGAAAGTAAGTTCTGCCGATGTTTTGTAACTTCCATCCAAGTGAAGAATTAACCACGGAAGTGGTAGGTAATGCAACTCAGCAAAAGTCTGTTGTCAATGGTTGAAAACAGGTACAAAACAGATCTCCTGGCTGAGTTTCTTTGGTGATAGACAAACATATACAAATCAATATGTCACATGCAGCTTTGGCTTTCAAAATCAATCTCTCAGTAATTGCACTGAAGTGTCCATTGTATCATCCAGTTTAGAATGTGGTTATGGTTTCACCATAGATAAAATAGAAGCTTTGATTGTTGATACTGTGAGGTAGACATCCCATCATAAATATTTGGACAGTTGAAGAATAGAAAAAAAAGTTTATTCAATTGAACACCTGACAAAATTTGCTACTGTAAAATACTGTTAGCGAATTTCCGCTTAGGCCCACCGCACACCGTGTGACTGTTTTACAACTTTCGTTGCAAACCAGTTGCGCTTGCAACTGCTTTGTGACCTCGGCAATGTATTGCAGTGGGGAGGCGCACACGACGCAACTGGTTGTAAGCGATTTCAAAAGAAGTTTGAAACCAGTCACATGCAACCGTGGGCCCGACGTTGCAGTTGCGTTGGAGACTTAAGTTGCACGAGACCACGGGGTGTTTTTGTGGTGTTTGGTGGTATTTTGGTAGTATTTTGACTTCCATATAGTGTTTTAAGTGTTTATAATATCCTATCCGACTAGCTCTAGCTGCTACAAACAGCCTAGGACTAACATTCTTGCTCAAATAAGGGTGAACCCAATGCTCTCTCAGTACTCTTCGCTGTCTTCAGAACTGATAATAGCTAATAACGTCTTCTTCGTCTGAGTCTGACATAGTTAGCGCTCTTAAGGCTTTAAAGCAACGTAACTGCTTAATTGACACTCCACTTATTGCACAATGGACGCAACTGTAGTTGTAAAACAGTCACACCGTGTGCGGACAGAAGTTTTGTTTCAGTTGCAAACTGGTTTCAGATGCAACTGGTTTGCAACAGTTGTTGTAAAACAGTCACACACCGTGTGCGCTGGGCCTTAAGCTATTACCATAGGTCTCATGGTAAGACCTAGACCCTCGACCGGATTAATTTTTTTTCCTTTTGAGGTCCCCAGAAGCGAAAAACACCATCTTTTCAAATTTATATGTGTTTGTGTGTGTGTTAGCATGATAACTCGGGTTCCCAATTTAAATTATTAAATTAGTCAAATCAGTTTGCAAACCAGTTTGATCGGACTAGGAGAAAAAGTTCCATAGGCATTTTCATTTCCTGAAAAAAATATTGTTTTTCCCATTTTTTATCTCAAAACATGATATTTTGCTTAAAAGACCGATAATTTTGTACATTCAAGCGTTGTTAAACGATTAAAGCGCCCGGAGAAAATTCCAAAAACTGTACTTTTTATATTTCCATATGGCCTATACTTTTCCTGAGCTATGGCTATACTCAACGACAATTATTCAAACAATATTTAACGTTTCTATTAGCTAGAAATTTCTCATTCATTTGAGTACAAACATTAAGTTATAACAGATTCATAACAGCGTGAGATCAGATCATAAACTTAAATCGAAACCAAGCTTGAGTCTTATTCCAATGTGTTCTCTAGAATAAAAGACTGTCAAAAGCTGGTAAAGATGGAATGTCTACTTCATTATCCGATAAATTTAATATTCAATAAGATTAATTATGTCCTCATATATTAGTGATATTGCAGTTTAAAACCATCCGTAAAATGTATAATTGTTTCTTCATTTTGAATCAAAACTTACTTCCTGACCAGACCATAGAGAAATTACAAAACACTAAAAATAAATGCAAAATTGTGTTAACTCTAAACAAGCCTATAAATATTATGATTACTCTCACATAAACTATAAAGTAATAAACAGATAAAAAACTACGTAAGCTGAAAGGCATGTATGTACAAATATCACATATTTTTAACACCTTCTGAATCTTCCCTTCAGATCAAACAATGAAAACTATACAGATCTTAGCACTAACATCCAAAATAACATCAGTAAAGTTATGTTAGTTGAGAAAAAATATTTACAAGATTTAGCACCTTTCACATTGTAATTCATAAACAGAAGACTCTCTCAAACACTTCGGGATTATACCTTCTTTGAATTATGAGAAGTTTACATAACCATGTTTTAAAAACACGGTATTACGTGTGCAGTACCACAGAGAAGTAAGGCACAGAGGAAACATTCAATGGTACACTGTAAGTGGTGTCTACAGCAAAGTCCAACACTGCCCCGCTCACCCTCATGTACTACGACTCTCACGTTGGAGGAAGACCCTCCTATGCCCTATGAAAGAGGAATTTCCGCACAGTGCTCGCTGCTCAGGCTCTTCCTTGTGCATCATAAGAGTATTCCAAGCACAGCAAAATAGAGCTAAAAGGCGCACATTTGTCCCATAAGCGTGTTTCCTCTATACCTTAATTCTCTGTGACAGTGCGTACAAGGAATATTTAACATACACCTTATATTTTTTCATCATTAAGGATCTGCTGGAGACAATTTTAAGGTTAACCAGGCTTTAAACATCAGCTGTTTAGATGTTTACCATTTTTTCTTGTTGTTAAGCAAAATTTAAAAAATATTTTAACCAATAAAACAGTCTTAGATGGATTGTTCTGATCATTTTTCCCTTTTGTAAACGCAGCAAGTTTTTATGCCACACAGGTTATCATAAACCTGTTTTTAAACTTGGTCTTACAGACATAGTGTTAATGCTTTCATAGAAAGATACAATTGTCAATAGGGATGAGTAAAACTGCCGTATCCATTGTGCACTGAAGGGATCCCACCCGATGAACTATTGGATTTACTCCTAGCAAGGTCCCATCCCAACAATGCATTGGTCGGAATGTTACCCTTGTTAAGTGTTTGGACGTGTTCGAAGTCCGAGGTGTCGTCTTCAGTCTCATATCTCTCGCTGAGCAGACGGACTCTGTTCGGAGGTAAACTTCTTTTCTTCTCAAACGTGATGAAGCATGTGCATACCACAAACTGCAAAGAGAAAAATGCAGAGGTTAGTAATATTTTTGGAAGCTTTATGTTCGCTTATAAGAATCGTATGGTAACTATCACACAATTGGTAAAGGACAAAAACAGAAATCTAAGCAGTTTTAAATTTAATTTGAGATGCAAGTAATTTTTTTGTAGATTATGCATACTTTATTGTTGATTTATCATCCCCATGAAAAATATGATGATTGATGACGATTTTAAGTTAAGTTGCGTCTGGTTCACAAGGATGGCACTTTGTTGTTTGATGTTGTTACTTTGGTTAATAACGATATAATCATACATAATAGCTTATTATCTTGTATTAAATAATCAAATCAAATCTGGCGAGTCAAAAGCTCAGTTAGTAGCGCGATAAGACTTTAAATTCATGACATGGATGTCGTAGGTTCAGATCCTGATACCTGCCAATAAATTTTGTCTGTACAAATCACCCTTGTACTGTACCGGCTCACATTGACTCAAAAGAAAAGCATTTATACTGCATCACTGCACACTAAATATTGTTTACATGAAACATATAACAGGTTATAGATTTTACTAAGTAAAAAGCTTGTGATTTCTACTTGCACCATTCAAAGTGAATGCTATCATAAGTACCATATAAAATATACTCACCAATGCTGAGTGGATGATTATGACAAACAAAGTTCCGTTTCTGAAGCCTACTTTGTCGTAAAGCACCCCGGCCACTGAGGGGCCAATGAAAGCACCAAGGGAGAACGAGGCAGACCACAGCCCTGAGAGTATGCCATACGTGCCGATGTCATCGTTGAATCCTGCTGCGCTGTAAATTACATTACAATTTTATATTTTTATGAAAATTTTTCATATAAATAAAATTTGAATGTCTTTATTAGCCAGTGTTTCTCTAATACTCACAGGTTTTTCAAACAACAGTTACTATAGTCACTATCCACAAGTATACATTTGTCTCTTTTAGAAACATTTTTAAGTTAATTTAAAAGTACAAATTGTACTGCTCAATGCAATGGTAGGCTCTCGGGGGATCTGTCGTACAATGGGTCCAAAATAAGAGACACTTTACTTTCCTAATTTTCAAGGTAATCTTGGAAAGTGAATTCTCCCACCATGACGAGTCCTACGTTGGATAACCTCATCCTAGACGGAAAGCCTCTCGCAAAGATTGTCAGGCTCACGGGGAGGCATGCAGCATATAAAAACCTGAGCAACACACTGGCTGTTTCACAGAGAGGGAAACATGATCATCAAATTTTATGATGCAGAACACATATCGGATTGCTAAGTTTTGGATTTTATGTAACTGGCAAATGTCTTTACAGTGATACTAACTAACTGTTGTCTTATGCAGAAAACGTATGATGACAGTATCACTTACTGCATAACTGTAACCATAACCATAACCTATAAATTGTCAAGCAGAGTGTATATTTGTCCTTTTACTTTGTTTCATTCAGTGGCTTATCCAGGGGGGAGGGGTTAGGGGTTTGAAACCCTCCTTTACCTCAAGACATAATTTTTACAGTTCACATTTTTTTCTGTAATTAAAAATCTCTTTTATATGTCTCTAAAAGGCCTAAAAACACGAGTTTACAGATCCCCCGGAACCCCCCCTGACCACCAAGACCCCCTGGTGTAGCCCTCCCCCCCCCATTAGGATATGCATTGTATAGCGTCTGCAACGGACGTATACGTATGCAACTACATTTTCCGAACAAGTCATAGAAATTTCTTGTCACAAAATTAAGTCACAACGGTACAGAGCACAACAAGTATTTAAAAGACTTATAAGAAAAATTTCTTCTCAATAACTAATGTTCAGAATTTTTCGTTTACAAACTATGTAATATGTGTTTTATTTCCCTATGTACATTATGTAGAAACTACATAATCTTCTGAACCAAAATTACAAAAAAATAAGGATGTTATAAAAATAACTACAGTAGTGTGACACAACGATATTATTAATGAAAAACTTACACTGCAGAGCATATTGAGTCCATGAAGGTCGGTACCATCAGAGACGCTAGTCCTACTCCGTGTATCACCAGGCCTATGATGCAGAGGGGCAGAGTCCTGCAGGAAACTGAATATTAGTGCTGTTTTAGGACCATTTTCACTCTCTTACACTATACACAGTATATGGAGAAAGTATTGTTTTCATCAACATTTTCAATTTTGGGTTTTAGCGGAAATATCCCTTTTGGGCCCCCCTGAACGAAAAGTGATTTCTGTGTGCGTGTGTCTAAAATTTGGTATGTTAGTTCCCACACACCAAATTTTAGACACACAAAAAAAGGACTTTGTAAACTATGTCATCTTATATGTCTAATTAATAACTCTCAACGTTAACAAAATCAGAGATAAAACTTAGTTTTAGACTGTGGCACTCTCTGAGTGTGAAGAATTCAACTATGTTATTATTTAATTAAAATTTGAAACAGCTGATCTACATTAATGGGATTTATACTTAAGCTACGGCTTAATAGCTTTGCAAAGTTATTACTTAACATATTTCTCATTTGAAAAATCTAACAGATTGAATAAAACTTGATGACCGAATGTTTAACATTTACTTACGTAGGTAGTGGTACGAAAGGCGCCGGCCCAACAATCGTGAAGCTGATAACGACCAGGACACAACCAACAGATATAACTCTCTTGGGATACGCCCAACGATCACAGATACGGCCAACGATCGGTGCGACGCAGGCATACGTCCCTCCACTGATCACGAACATCAATCCCATGGCAATGGGGGACAGGTTGAACTGGACAAAGACATACAATTATTAGTGAAGTGTTTATTCGTAGATATTATATGAACTATCTACTGATCACCTCTGTCAATAAGTATGATGGGAATGCAACTATTTAGGTATATTTTAACCAAAATGTTTAAACAGAATTTTATTACGTTTGGTAAATAAATGGTGTACACCCTACTATGTAACGTTAACTCTTCTTATACAGCGTCATTAATAGCTCAATCAGCGCTGGATTCACCGCTAGGCCGAGGCCTAGGGCCACAGCGTTTTGTACAATAACAATTTTTTTAATTAATAATTCACCACGACTTTGGGTAACGATGAAAATGTACCAGTGATCACGGGAGATGATCACAATTTTGGTGCGATCAGAAAAGTTTCACATAATGGGTAGGAGCTGTTAGTGTTAGTTTGGCTGCAGGTACCAAATCTGACACGGATCCCAAAAACATAAAAGCGTTTGATTATAGAATCAACATCTTTTGGGATTGAACCAGCTACCTTCAGATTTGAAGGTAAGCATTGTAACCACTCGGCTGCCCAGGAAAATTTGAATAATGATTGAGACTCTATGTATTAATAATTGCGCATAAACAACACTTTGTAACTATTTTACATACCAATCTTAAATGAGGTTCAAGTGTAGCAGAATAAAATCCCATACTGATGGCAGTGGCAACAACAGCAGCTGAGTTGAGTAGAATAGCTGGCACCTTCAGGAAATCTGTGATGCCTACAGAAACAAAATGGTATTTAAAAGGTACCTATCCTTTATTGTAAGTTTTAAATAACTTATTGTTTCAAAATTGATTGTTTTCCTATGTTTCTTTAATAATTAATTTTGGCGAAATTCTTGCTTCCTTCTGGTTATAGTAAAAAGGCGTCATCAATGGTGTAGTTGTGAATTTCCAGTGTGGAAAAATTATTCTTCAGAAAGTATAATCATAGACTAACCAACACAAGTATACTTCTCATCCCATTGTAAATTTTGTAGCTCATTTCTCATGTCTAGTTCATGTACGGTGACACTGATCGCTAGTGTTGAAAAAATTTGGTTTCTATTATTGTTTTGGTTAATTTCTTGATTCGTGCTTTACTGTTTGGTTGCATAACTAGGGGGAAAAGTTATTGTTTATGATTAGATTGGTTTATTTGACTAAACGAGGTATTGAGTGACTAAAATAACAAGAAACAAATCGTAAACAAAACATAACCTCTACAGTACATAGGGCAGAACTAACAATAAAATTGCTTCAGCTGTTCCATAAGGATGAGAAATCTACTAAGATGTTTTATCCATGGTACAATCTCCTCAGTCATTAAATAAAGAAATGTATGTCTTCTTCAAGAATATTTTGAAAACAACATAATTCTGACAATGTGGTTGCTGTGGTAAGACACTGCTGTTAAGTCCATGTGAGTAAAAGAGATGACGTTTATTAACTGATAAGTTTTATCAGGCTGAAAAAAGAATAACCCTTAATCACCACGGTTCATTCCATGTCATTCTATTTTAAGAAGTCACTATTGGTTTATATAACACTAGTGAAAAATGCTTACAATATTTCAATTATCAACTGCAAAGATAATTACACTCAATACAAAGTCTACCAGTCGATGATGAAGGTTATCAAAGTCTTGAAAAACTTAATAGGTTAGCAAGATTGTTAGATAAGCTTTGAATGTTTAAATTATACTAATTATGAGTCTAATAACACAATATGATTTCCTTAAGATAAATTTTCAATGAGTTTATGCAATAATAGATAGTGTTTACCATCTCCTTGTTCATCCTTGACTTCTTGATAGATTGGAGGAAGAACGTAAACTATGACGAGTGCGATCACCAACATCGCAAGGCCGTTCACGATGAACGGCAATTTGAAACCTCCAAGCTGTAAGTAAAATACCATGTTAAAACAGCAAACCTCTCAAATGGTCTCCAATGATTGACTCCAGTGAAAAAGGTTATACAGTTACAAATTAGGTTTGTCTGAAATTGAGAGAGTTGAGTCCTAGAGCTTAAGTAGGTACACAAAAGGCGACACAACTTAACACTAATATTTTTTCTTAAAGTCGAACTTCTTTACATAGAAGATAGATTTCTCTGCGATTTTAATTTTCTCAAGTAAGCTTTCTGAACTTTGATCCCTTTCCAACATCACACATGTATGTTTTCCTGGAACTGAAACCTAGGTTACAAATTATGTAATTTCCTGTACCCGTCAACAGAGTCAGATATTAGATTGGAGTTAGAGTATATCAAAAACTGTTGGAAATATTTATAAGGAACATAACTATTAATCCCATTAAATGTGTTTCAAATTTGAATTCTCAACGTAAACTGATCTGTGATCATGGAAAAGAAAAGTTGATTCCTGACCATACTGTTACAGTTAAGTAAATATAGATTGGGTTGTTACATGATAATATTTATTTAAAACAAAGATGAAGATTGGTAAACTATCTAATCTTATCAATATTGACAACATCATATGTGAAGAATGTTTAATAATATTTCAAAATTACTTACGGAAAATAAGAATCCACCGATGGTAGGACCAACAATATATCCAACACCGTAGAAAACTTCCAGAGTTGCCTAAAACATGACATAATTTATTGATTTACCTACTTTACGGCTTGTCTCAGTTTGGTAATAGTATTTATTAGTAAGCTTCAATAGTTAAGAAAAGCTGTGGTAGATGTATCTAGTCAACTAATATTTCGTTTTTCATTATCCTGCTGCATTTTCACATTCTAGGATGCTAAGTTCTAGCCTGGAACTAAATTACTGTTTAGTATTTTACTAATACTTTCCTTTACTTAAAGCAACAAATTATTTTAATTTTTTTATTTATTTATTTTGTCCTAGGGCGCTAGGCACGAGCCCGGGATTGTTTTTCACACCTTACTTCAGGCTAGACCTGCGGGGTTGCGGCATTATCACTTAGATAAAATCCATTGGTGATTTGGTAGGATTTGAACACGGGACCTCAGGTACCGAAGTCCCGTGCTCTAACCACTATAGTTCGGCCGCTTAGAAAGCGACCTCCTCCAGCATTGGTTTAGCATTAGCGCGCACGTCGTTTTCTAAGCGGCCGAACTATAGACCAGCTTGCACCCCCACTATTCAAAGCAACAATAAACTTAGTTAATATCAATACCATACTGATACTGCTATGGTTTACTTACAAAAGTAGTCCCGATAGATTTGGGAAACACAGCGGCAGTTATCGAGAAGGCAGCCACGAGCGCCGCTGTAGATCCTAGAGCTTCTGTTATCCTTAGCAGGAATGATAAGGAGATGAACCAATTGTGTGCCATCACATAGTCTAGCATCCTGCAACACCAATCAATAGATCAATCAACCAACTAATAAATCAATTTAAAAATTAACCAAGCAATAAATCAACTAACCAACAAATCAACCAATCATAAGTCAATCAATCAATCAATAATTCAATCAACCAACCAATCAAAAATCAACAAATCAACCAATCAATCAATCAACCAACCAATCAATCAATCAACCAACCAATCAATCAACCAATCAATCAATCAACCAATCAATCATTAAATCAACAAACCAATCAATCATGTGTTTCAACTCCAAGAGGGTTCTTAAGACATCTCCTCTTCCTAACAAAAACCTTCTTTGATCAAAAATGCTCTCTGCGTCTATATTAATTTTGTAAAATGTGTGTAATCTGTCGTTTTTTTTTTTGTGCCTGCGTGGAAACAACTCGTTCCCATTCAGGTAAGCTCTTCTAGCCACAAAAATGTATATCCCTTTTGCTCTATGCTACATCCTTAACCCAATCAGAATCAATCAATTCATTCTTGTACAAGACAGCAGGGCACATGAACGGCATTGGCACAAGATGACCTGTGTAGCTTACTTAGTGACTAAGATAAGCTGTTTCTTTTTTCCAATTTTTATCAAAAGTCCAATGATCATGGACGGTTGGTATTAGCATTGAGGCATTGACTATGTATTAGGCAAAGAAACTAGTTTCCACCAGCAACTAAAAATTATGATACAGTATACTCCTGTAGACATTGACTTAGGCTTCACGTTTATGTAGGCTTGGCTATACATAATATGTAGGTATATTATGTACATGTATTAGGTATACATACATAAAAGACTCTTTTTACAATTCAAACAAAAAAACTTGACAAGCTACCATGCAATACTTGGATAAAAACTTGGTTGTACTTACCCAAATAAAATAGCTGATAAAGCTGCCAAGATCATCCCTAAGTGAAGAGTTGTTTTAGCACCCCAAGAGTCAAGCTATAAGAAAAAAACCCTTTGATTATAATTCGGTATACCTTGGAATTTTTTTAAGAAAATAAAAGTTTTGTTTAATTATTAATTGTAGTAAGAAATTTATGTCCTCTTCAAAATTGTGCAAAAACAAAAGAAGTTAGATAGAGAAAGAAACTAAAATAAAATATGAAGCAAATTTTCATAAAAAATTATTTCAAACACTGTTACTTACATATTTTCCTAGAATAGGGCTGCTGAGAAATGCTATTAGCTCAAAACTGCCAAAAACTAGTCCATATTCTGTAGCGGTAGCCCCTTTCAATTCAGCCTGGAAAAATACAATACAAAAGTTTTAGTAAAGAGTTATAGGTTCATAAGTATTACCAATTATTCACTTAATTGAGTCAACAGACTTCTATACCTTTTGTAAAATCAGTAAGCTGATTTTTTTTTATAATTGACTAGCAGAGTACCTGTCCTTTGTACGGGGATGGCATATAAGTATAAAATGCTTATTGCAGTTATACTCGAGCTTTGCGTTTGCAGGGGGGATATATTTCGATAAAATTGTATTTTTTAAATTGACTGTATACTATAGTATTACACATCTACCATAGCCACAATGTTATACCACTTCACCTAAACGATAGAGAGAGATAAATTATAAAAAATTCACAAAATATAAAAAATTATGAATGAAATTAAAAACATAAACATAACTGTAAACAATCCTACTTTGACAGTTCCCATTGCATATCACAGTTTTTTGTTGCTGCTTAGTTCAAATTAGCTGTTTTCATAAATGCAAAAAATAATCATAGTGCTGCACCCTGTTGGTAAATCTTATACCTTTTAATGGTTTTGCCTATCATAGAACCAACTTTTTTAATTGAAACAGCTGACTAAATTCTTTAATTCCCTTTAAAAATATGAATACTCATAAGCATAAGGTTAACATGGGGAACTACAGAGCCACTGGGGCGGAGCCCGAAAGGTTTTTTGAGATAAGAATATGCCTATATGTTAATCGGGAATGTGATCTATCATCAGGCCAAATTTCAGCCTAATCAGTCCAGTAGTTTATGCGTGATTGAACTTCAAACAAACAAACAAATGAACAAACAAACTTTCACATTTATAATATTAGTAAGATTTCATGTAGTGATATACTCTATTTTGTTTCGTCCATAATACTCGTATTAGTTGATATTAGTGATATTGACATAAACTGAAAGTTTTTTAATAGTGATCGACAATATCAGAGATTAACCAATTGTTTACAAATTGATAGTTGATTTTGTTGTTGTTGTTGCTTTAATGGATTAGTACATAAAACCAGCCAGAGCTATGAAACACAAAATAAAAAAATTGTTCGATTGAATAATCATTTTGCCCATATATGTCAATTGTGTTTCCCTACTTTCCATTGCTGGTATCAATTGTTGTTTCCTTTAAGGTTTTTGTTTCTTGTTTTTGTTCTGTTTGTTTTACTATACACTTCTCTGTATGGGTCTTTTGTGTTTTCTCAGTGTTGGTTGGGTCTGTTTCCTATTGCAATTTGTTGATTTAGGTATTTTCTCATTGGATGGGACCAGGTTCAACATCAAGAAAAAAGACAAAGTTTTCCATAATCTTGAATTTTTTATGGTAAACCCTCAATAATCCCTTAAAAAACATAAAAAGTAAATATTTTATTTGTAATGCATGCTTTATTACGATCCTGAGAAAAGTCCTTAGGAAAGTCCAGCTTTTTGATGTTTCGAAACTCAACCCCGATGTTCCTGATCATTGGGCTTTAAATAAATGATCTTGTTCACTTAAACAGCTGATCTTAGAAAATCACAGCCTTTCACAAGAGGCCAGGCAACTGACAAGCCACTCCACTACAACCACTCACTGTACAATGGTAATTGCGAAAATGCTGTCGAACAATGAACATCTCCTTCTTCTCGCGTTGATAATAAAGAAAAGATGGCGAAGACACAGGCATACTATCGCAAATTGCTGGGTACTTTTCAATTTCACAAACTTCAGTACTCACTTTGTCTTTTATTATTTTTTTGTTTAGTCTCTTATTCTGTTCTTCTTCCTTTGTCTTTTCAGCAACATCCTCTTTATGTTTCTTCTGATCACTCATTTTCACAAACAAACAATTCAACACAAAAACACTCAACAACTACCACAGCGCATTTGTCTCTGCAGTATGCACGTGAACTGGACCAAAATAGTAGCTGAACGCATCCGCGGTGGCGGCCACTTCGTGTGAAAGCTCCCATTTAATTCAATGCCCCGCGACGAGTTGCCACCGCTGCGGTTGCCGACTAGCAGTTGCACAAGGAGACACTGCTCGGCAACTGTGTCCTGACGGGTGAAGTGGTTGCGTGTGAAGGCTCCCATTTAAAATAATGTTAAAGCTGTGGCGGGCAACCAGTGGCCTCGTGTGAAAGGGCCCTTGGTCAATAACAAAGCTATCATAAGGTCATCTAGGTCCATTCACTCATCCTTCACTTATATCTTGGTTAAAATACGCATCTAGGTAGCGACCCCATCTCAATTAATAAATTGATGATTGAAACTGGCACTTTTATACAAATTTCATTACAAATAGTATCTTACCTCCTGCGGGTAGAAGGGAGCCTGCAATGATATACAGATGGCACTGGAGAAGTGAACACTTCCGATGGCTACCATCGTCATCCATTGTCTCTTGGTTAGTTTTGGAGCCCCTCCCATCGTCAGTACTGGGCTCATCTGCAAACATTAGGGGAGAGGATTACAGAGGTGAAAAAATAAGAGTCTAGATTCTTAACTGGAGTGTCTTTAACTGGAGTGTCTCTCCGAGTCTGGTCTCAAAGTATAGTTTTAACCCAACAACCAGAGAGATAGCCCATCCTGGCTACAGAATCAGCGGATCCTCCAAGAAAGCTACACAGATCTCACTCCCTATACACTCTTACACGCCTTACCAGCATTAATTTTTATTTTATTTCGTGTGTTTCTACACCAGTGGCATTTTTTACGTTTTGAAAGGAAATGGTCAAACCCTGGTCTTGTTACTATACCTAACATCAACCATTTTGTTATATAGCATCAAAGGTTTGAACACTATCCCACACTAAGATTAATATACTGTCACTTCTCTTGATGCAATAAAATCTATGTAAGAATCAATAACTCAAGAAAAATTAAACAAACTAACTAAAACAAAAACGAATCTAACTCTAACAGCTGATGTATCTGCAATATTTTTAAATGTGATTAAATACAGCCCTTTAACTGAGGTGCATGCCCTTAGGTGAGGGTTTATTGAAAAACTGATATTTATCGGGCAAGTTTTAAATCAAGACATTTCATTCAAGTAGGCGTTTAAGGTGTGTGGCTTATAGTTTTCTCAAAAGTTCAAATTCTTCTTAGCTTTAGCCTACATAGATCACCTTTTGTTGTTTTCTCAAAAGTAAAGTATAGTATTTTCATTGTCATATTTATGTTAAAATTTTACAGTTCCATATACAACCATAACTTGGTATTCCATGGTTTGTACATTGTTCGTGGACCCAGTATCAAGAACCTTAATAAAGTCACATTGAATATGGATTGTAAAAATAATTGTAAATTCGTTTGTTTGGACCGTTGGAAGCAAAATAAAATCAATAGACGATGTTTTTCTTCATGTAAAACTTAAGACAACAACTATGATATACTTCAAGAACTACATCAATTTTTATGGCTATAAATAAATCATATTTGTATGGTCAATAATGTCATATTCGTTTACAGACAAACTGGAAACAACTTTAATAAACAACATAATTTTGACTCGGTTCACAAATAAAAACTTGTTTGTTATGTACACAACTTAATAACATGTTGATAGTAGATAGTAAAGACTGTCTTGAACATTTACCTGCATTCGTATGGTCACCATTTCACAATAAAGTATTAAAGTATTATAAATTTACATTTAGTCCAGTCCAGAATGTCTAAAGAACTAATGTATTATGGCAGTGGCATTTTTATCAAATATCATACACGCTTTTAGGGGAAAGCAATTCAACCCCTCAGATTTTTCCTGATAATACGGGAATCGGTCCCGTCCCTCTCATACCGAAACCAGAGAAGCTATAGCACAGAAAACATACTACTATAACCATATAGTAGTACTATACTTAGTATAGGTTATAGTAGTACTTTTTCTGTGGCTATAGGCAATGAATAAATAACCTTATTACTTCTTATAAGGTTCTATATTCATCGCTCTAGGCTAGTGACGCGCCCCACTAGAAGAAATACACGTCAAAATGCATCTACAGTTAACAATCAGTTGTTATAAAACTATTAATTTTCAACCTTAACTATTGGAATTTGATTTGGTATCCAAAACTATTTACAACTAATCTATAACTTAATATTAAAACGTGATAGGGGTTTTTTATTTCAGGATTCTGAATCAACCACTTGACGGATTTTCATGATTTTTGTGTTGAAGGAAAGATAATTTTGAGAACTAGGGAATGTCGAAGCCATAAATTTAGTTTAGGGTTTCAGTTTTTTGGAAATTAGGTTTTAAATTTTTAAAAAGTCTAGCAGCTGACGCTAACATTCTACCTTTTACTATTAATACCTTTTACCTACCTTTTACTCTAGCTGGTATGATAAAATTTGCTTAACATAACAGCTGTAAACATTCCGCGTTTTTCGACACAAATTCAGCTTTTGGATGAAAATGAAATGACATATGTAGAATTGATTTATTTATACTATGTGTAATGCTATAACAATTGATACGTTTATTCAATCGGTAAGAGGATGAGATTTTATTTAAATATACATAGTAAAATAAAAGATGTTCTAACTTATTTTTGTCAGCAGGCTTTAAAATATTTAGTTTGTTTTAGTGAAATAAATTTGTTATAACTAACAGCTGGTTGAATAAAAAATATTCTATAGAACTATGAGGTTAGTTTATTTACTCTGAGATTTTGTCATTGATTATAGGAAATAAGTAAGATTCTGTATACGAATCGAAGCTCACGAATCTTCAAAAGAAAGCTTATGAAAATTATTTTACTATTTGACTTTTTGAGGAAAGGTTGGGGAAATAACAATGATTACATGTTTTAACTCATCTTGGAAGTTTTTTCTTTACTATCAATTTTGAACTGCTTAAACTATGCCTGAATTAGTAATAGACACAATATATACAGTTTTAATGGACTACTCGATTCCCGTGGACGGGCCAACAGCTCGTATATATTATTTCTCCAACCAGTTCTTTGCCAGTGTTGTTTATTCACACCTCGTTTTTATCATGGAAACATGAAACCTACAAGCTACCATAGAGTAATACACTTACGACATGTTATTCGAGAGTATATCACAATTCGATACGTGTATATCGCACGGGAAAGTTGGCAACAATGGTCACGTGGTCTGTCACAAGACAGTGACGTCAGCAGGATCCGATTCACTTCCACATCACATGATTCGACCGCGCCGGGAGATCGACTGACCTGTGTCCAGTGATGCTGGACCTGCTCAAGGGCAGGGTTTCATCCCAAAATTGGGATATTTTCACCTTCCGAAGGGATAAACGGGAAACATAACAAGATGTTTTATATGGATAGCTACAATAACCATCCCGTTAATTAATACAATTAAGAACAACAAAAATCAATTAACGATACATGAAGGAATAGGTTTTCACTCGATTACTTTTTATCGGAATCACAAGGGATATCAAGGGATATTAAACGGTTTTAGTGGGATTTTATCCCTGCAGTGTGGTATTTTTACCACATTGAGGAAACACCGGTTCCTGTACAAGCATCCCATTCGGAAAACAAGATTCTGTGCCAAGTCGAGTCAAAACCACTAATGGAATTCAGCAAAAAACAAGAACAGCTTCAACTCTACAGGAGACATGGACTTCATACTGTGGTTTATCGGCACGTGTTTGAATTACACCGGATAAACAGAGATACTTAAAATGATTCTTTTGTACATAGTCTATATTTATATTGCAGCCACAAAGATCACGGTTAGAAACCCAATACGAATTGTGGGAATGGTTTTGAACATTTTTGGCTCCATTATTTGGGTGGAACACTTTTTTTAAACCTATCCCAAATTTTTGTTACACCCCTGCTTGGGGGTTTTACTAGGAGGTGTTGCACCTAGATTTTGAAAAGTTCCCGAATCCTCCGAAGACAGATATATCATACTATATTTTTCTGAACGTATAAAAGAAGAACGTGTGAGGGTTGTGCCCAAAATGTCTTTTCAAATCTCTTTTCATGTCAAAATGTCTTTTCATGTCAAAATGTCACGAATTAAATTATATTTTGTTGCTTTTAATACCAGGGGTAAAGTTTGACAATGAGTTTTAATCGAATTATTTTCCCTCTGCGAATAGTGAACAATGAATTTAGGTATGTTTTGCCTGAAAAGAAAAAGAGAGGCTCTATGTTCACACAAATAGCCTATATAACATTGTTAACTTCAAAAGCTATTTCGGGACGATATTTGAAATCATCAACGCTTTTAAGAGGAGTTTCGAAGGATTAAATCCTACATACAAAAATGTTAGGCTTATAAAAATTAACGAATTGAAACAACATTTTATCAGCCAATTGACCATGATGCTACGGCGAAATCTCATAAATATGTTAAAGACCAAAGTCCAGCTTGTTACGTTTCCTACAAAATTTTCATGTTTCATGTATGTAAATATTCTTGAACGGCAACTTATTATATATCTTCCTCGAGGCAATCTTATTTTCTCCTCTTTAAAATTTGTATAAATAATGTTATCATTGTTTTGATGTTTTCGAGTTTTACAATCTAATAAAGCTATTTATAAACTACCAAGCAAGGTTATGGGACGAGGTTGTTGTCATAGGAAATCCATGTTACTGAGAACCCTTCAAATAATTATTCATTTAAGTTTCAGGCGAAAGAATATGCATTCAAATCAAAAGTAAAAATTCGCTTGGAAGCATTACGATCGAACTTATTATGGGCCACTTGCATTTTTAACTAATTTAATCGTTTGCTGTTGTTGAAGTAACATGATAACTGTCCATTATTATTAAAATTAGCAAATACACACGTTTTTGGCCGCTGGGAACCTCAAAACGAAAAAGTAAATATTTCCCGAGTCCAGGTCTCACCATGAGACCTACGGTAATAGCTTATTCTCTATACTATATGGGAAATTCACTCAATGTGTGTTCAGTGTTCGCCTTCGAATCTAAAGGGCTGCGGTTCGGTTCCAGTCAAGATATTTGATCCAGATATTCATTGGGCTATTGATTAATGATGCTATAAAAAAGATAGACTTAACAAGACCGGGGTTTAGATTGTTCCTAATGTCAATATCAAGAAACACAAACTAAAACAAATCGTACAACTTACCAAAAGCAACAAACATGAAAAATTAGTCCACCAATTGAAGCTTGTTTTCAAAAAACAATGCAACCCGATTGTTCAAATACAAGCAGTGCTCACAACCTTTTTCACAACACTTCTACACTTGAAGATGGATGTACACTGGGGTGGACCGAGGAGAAAAATGATCTTAGTGAATGACCCGACGGCCAGACTGATAACAGACGCACCCTTTGATAAGGGATATCACACCACTACTAGGGTCAAGGTCAAGGAATTATACTGTCACGCTTCTATCGGCTTATCACCAGACATTGTCAACAATGGAGAAAATCGTTGTTGAACACAAACTTCATGTAGGGCGT